GGTTAAGTTTATAACTGAGTGATTGATTAATTGTAGGCATTGCCAAGTTTTGATTCTTAGCTACTTTATCTTAATGCGATTAAGTTGTTTCTTTCACTATCACTAATATCCGTGAGCTAAACGCAGAATGTGTATAGAGACTCCAAATTCGAGCCAGAACACAAGACGAACGTACAAACTCCGTTTAATAGTGTACCACCCTTCGATGCTGAGGACGATCGAGTAAAAGACAATTTTTCTTTCTCGAAGCATTCGTTCGAGCGGAGCATGACTTCTTCTGCCAAGAAAAACTCGAGCACCCCTTTCACTAGATCATACACCTCATCCGTAATCCCTCGAGATATAAACGGGAAGCCAGACGCTTTTGTGGCAAATTTATTGCACGAAAATGTTAAGGATATAATGACTGAAAACGACCAAAAGTCTGTGAAAGGAAAGTCTGTTGACGAATTTCAACCTGAAGCTATATTAGCTTACTATGATGGAAAAAACGGTGATAAAACTCGAGAAAAAGAGTTGCCTCTAGAAAAAAGTGAATCTTCTGATGGGAAAGAAGAATATAAAATGAGAATTATGATGCTTGAGGAGGAACTTAGGGAAACAGCGGCAATTGAGATTGGATTATATTCTGTAGTCGCTGAGCATGCAAGTTCGGTGAATAAGGTCCATGTTCCGGCTCGAAGGTTGTCCAGATTTTACTCTAAAGCTTGCAAAACGGGGTTTAAGGCCAGACGGCAGAGTGCTGCTCGAGCTGCAGTTTCGGGCTTAATTTTGGTTGCTAAAGCATGTGGGAATGATGTTGCGAGGTATACCGTGCTTGGATTTTCCAATTACGAGCTTCTAGAATCGTATGTCCAGTTGAATCTTGGTCTGAATATAAAGTGCTGAAAGTTTTAGGGAAAACAAAGCTTTTAAACTTAGCCAAACCCACTCGGAGTTGCCTCTTGATCATGCTAAAACAGCTGACCCTATTTGCAAAATTTCTTTTACAGATTGACCTTCTGGCTATCAAATTCAATCATGTTGAGGGCTATCGTTAGTGAGGTTACTGCAGAATTTCAAAATTCGAGCATTGACTCGGATGACGTATCTGCATTTATAACTGCACTTGCAAATATAGAATCTTGGCTCTTTTCTCGAATTGTTGAGTCCGTTTGGTGGCAGGTTAGTTTATCAGTTCTCATTTTGGATGTCCACCGACTTATCGTATGAATTGAATAGATTTCATATAAATTAAGGTTGTTTTTTTCTTTTTTTTTTTGCCCCTCATCTGTCAGACATTCACGCCACATATGCACCCGGCAGCTGCAAAAATTAGAGATGTCGACTCGGTTTCATCTACAAAGAAAACGTGTGGGAGAAGGAACAGTTTGGGTAGCCATAATGATCAGGGGAATTTTTCTACAGAGTTATGGAAAAAAGCTTTCAAAGATGCATGTGAAAGGCTTTGCCCCATTCGAGCAGGAGGTCACGAGTGTGGCTGCTTGTCCGTTCTTGTTAGGCTGGTATGTTTTATATTATTATTAACTTATGCTAGTAATTAAAATGGCTTAGAAAGGAAGGGAGAAAAAAATGATATTAAATATAATTATTTGGTCTATTCTACTCATGAAATAGGAACAAATATGAATAGAATGTTTTATATTCGGAAGGTCATTGGTTTCTTTTGTGATTAGACTCAACTTGAAAGGTACATCTACAAAGAAAAACTAACCTTTAAGTCCCATGAAATCATCAAACTGTTAGATTATTTTAATGACAGTTTCAACTGCATTTGTATCAGGTAATGGAGCAGTTAGTCGACAGGCTAGACACAGCTATGTTCAATGCGATTCTGCGTGAGTCTGCTGAAGATATGCCGACCGATCCTCTTTCTGATCCCATTACCGAAGCTAAAGTCCTTCCGATCCCGCCTGGCAAATCAAGCTTTGGTGCCGGTGTTGAATTGAAAAATTCAGTAAGTGTCAAAAAAAATAATGTTATAACATATAAATGGATACCCTTTCCTTTTCTTTTTTTTTTTTTTTTTCTTCTCGTCTTTTAAATTGTTTTCTTGCAGATTGGGAACTGGTCCAGATGGCTTAGTGATCTATTTGGCCTAGAAGAGGACACAACCGGGAATAACGATATCGTCGCGAATGGAAAGAAACCGAAATCTTTCAAGGCCTTCCGTTTGCTGCATGCATTGAGTGATCTCATGATGCTTCCGTTCGGGATGCTTGCGGATAATTCCACCCGAAGAGAAGTGAGTTCCTCTTTGTATGTACATACATATTTTAAAACTTACCCGTTAACTTGCTCATGATATTATTTTGGTTCGTTTTAAGGTTTGCCCGATCTTAGGTCCTACAATAATCCGAAGGGTTCTGAACAATCACGTTCCAGACGAGTTCTGTCCGGATACTGTCCCACAAGACATCATCGATGCCCTTGATTTTGAGGTCTGTTCGGTTTATTATTAAATAGTACATGTAAAAGGTGCAATCTTTAAAGAGAAGTTCATTACATTCTCGATTTTCAGGAGGTTTTAGGCGAAGAAGATTTAGTCGCGACCTTTCCTTACTCGGCAAGTCCCTCGACGTATTTACCTCCTTCTGCAGCTTTACTAACATGTGTAGGGGAAGTTGGGAGCCAAGTGCTTCAGAGCAGCAGATTATCATCGATCAAAAAATCGTACACGAGTGATGATGAGCTGGATGAGCTCGACTCTCCCTACACCTCGATTATTCCGGACAGCTTAAGGACTTCTGATTTGACTAAACTCGGTTTATTACCAGAAGAAAAGAGTGACAGTAGAAACATCGTACGGTATCAATTGCTCAAGGAGATTTGGAAAGATGATGAGTAGTATCGATGCACGTATATGTACAGTCGACTGTTTATTTCCTACTAGGAGATTCGGAAAGATGATGAGTAGTATCGATGCACGTATATGTACAGTCGACTGTTTATTTCCTTCTATAACTCGAAAAAATGGTGGTATGAATTCAGTTTTTGGAGAAAATATTTACACATTGCTTTGGGAAGTGTTATATGATAAAATTGAGTTCTAAGGACTATTCATGAGATTTAATTACACCATAGCTGAAAAGGTAAAACTTGTTCTCATTATTGTTATATATTATTGTTATAACTTTCCAATTCTTACATCTTATAGCCTTTGGCAGCAAATACATGAGTTTTTGCAAAACTCGGAATCAATCGCTACGTTAGAAATATACATTTTTTTTAGTAATTGTTATCTCATCATCTCTTGTCCCTGCAAATTTGGTTTTAAAAAAA